TCTGTAATGGTACAAGATGAGCTAAAACCAGCTTGAGAACTGAGCGGGGACACACGGGGTAATTGAGCTGTTGTCTGTTTTCAGCACTCTCTTGTGACTTGTTTTTTGCTCTCCATACATGTTAAGATCCTTTAACCTTTCCATGTAAGTTTTATCCTGCAATCCATGAACCAGTTTAGTAGCCCTTCTTTGAACTCTCTCTAATGTATCAATATCATTCTGGAGATATGGTCTCCAGTACTGCGTACAATACTCCAAGTGAGGTCTCACCTATGTTCTGTACAGTGGCATGAGCACTTCCCTCTTTCTATTGCTAATACCTCTCCCAATACAACCAATCATTCTGCTAGCATTTCCTGTTACTCTAGAGATCTAGATTGTTGCTACTGTAACAGCGACAACACTCCGTGCTCGCGAGAGGAAGACCCGGAGGAGCTGCAGGCTGAGCTCCCAGGTCCTCTCTCCTTCCCTGCCTGCTGCCAGCAAAGTGCCTGCGGACTGGTGAGGGAGATCTCCCCACCGGTCCGTGAAGGCACATAACAGGGCCGGCGCTTGGATAGCACCAGCCTTGCAGGGGAGATCATCGGCGCGGATCTGCCACTGCCTGTTTGACTAATTTTATAATTTACCTCACCAAATTGTTTCCATTTCCTTATATGGGCTATGCAATTTCTACTGTGCTGACATGAAACAATACTCTATCTCAAGGCTTAACAGTGTGAATTTTAGCATTCCTGTTATAGTTATGGCTCTGACTTTCTTGTGCTTTCCTGATATGTTCCTACAATATTGGCAAAACTGCTCAAATGCATTCCTGAATCTGGGCCACATGCTCTATTACACTCCAGTACAGAGTAGACTCGTTTACCATGTTTCTGTTGCAATATCTAGGAATCCCCTCGAGTGTTGGCTATATAGGAACTCAAATGGAAAGTACCCTCTACATGCCTGGGGAATCTCTCTAAAGGAAAACATCAGATAAGGCAAGGAAAAAAAATCACACATTTTTCCAACCTTGTCTATCACTTGCCGTAACATACTTTTTAACGTCTCGTTAAACCTTTCCACCAAACCATCAGTCTAAGGGTGGTACACAGAGAAACACAGTGTTTTGTCAGAAGCAACTTACATAATTCCCATGTTACATGTGACATGAAAGGAGTACCTTGATCTGTAAAGATCTCTTCCAGGATCCCAACTTTTCTAAACAAATTATTTAACACTCTAGCTATACACTAAGCCAGGGGTAGGCAACTTACGGCACTTGTGCCATGCACGGCACTCAAGGTGTCTTTGCACGGCACTCAAGGCTGCTACAGCCAAACAGGCATTGGCCTATCAGGAGTCCCATTGAAACTTCAGATATCTGCTAATACGAAAAGGTGGTGAAGGACAATCCTCAATTTATGCATTGCAGCACATAGAGTAAGTGATCTTAGATCACTTCCTCCCAGCACTTGTGAATGGGAATCCACACTGTAGTAGAGTAGCCTGCAGTTGCAGTTGCTGTTGCAGCTCCGGTCCTTTGGAACCCAGGGAAGCCACCCACACTGCTAGATTCGGCGATTTAATGGCAGCCATTCAACAAGCTTTTTACTTGTGTGCCCTTAGAAGTCATCACAGCCATGCCTACTAATGGCATGGCTGTGATTGGCCAGTGCAGCATGTGACCCAGCTTCTATTTATAAGCTGTAGTCACGTAGCTCTGCATGTCACATGAGCTCTTATTAGTGTAGGGAGAGGATGCTGCCGCTTTCAGGGACAGATTAGGAAATAATTCTGCAAACTAGTACATTAGTGGGGTGCACTTCATAACTGAGAGTCAAATAGAAGCGTCAAATACTGCGGTTACAGCGCAGTTGTAAACATTCTAATTGTTTTGGTGCTAATTTTCTAAATAGTACATTAGTGAGGTGCACTTCGTATATGAGAGGCAAATAGAAATGTCAAATAGTGCGCTTACAGCGCAGTTGTAAACATTCTAATTGTTTTGCTGCTAAACCGCTAAATAGTAAATTTTGGGCGTGCTCTTCATATCTGAGAGTCAAATAGAAGCGTCAAATAGTGCGGTTACAGCACAGTTGTAAACATTCTAATTGTTTTGCTGCTAAACTGCTAAATAGTAAATTTTGGGCGTGCTCTTCATATCTGAGAGTCAAATAGAAGCGTCAAATAGTGCGCTTACAGTGCAGTTGTAAAAATTCTAATTGTTTTGCTGCTAAATAGTAAATTTTGGGAGTGCTCTTCATATCTGAGAGTCAAACAGAAGCGTCAAATAGTGCGGTTACAGCGCAGTTGTAAACATTCTAATTGTTTTGCTGCTAATCTGCTAAATAGTACATTAGTGGGGTGCACTTTATATCTGAGAGTCAAATAGAAGCATCAAGTTGTAAAATTTCTAATTGTTTTGCTGCTAATCTGCTAAATTGTACATTTTGGTGCTCTTCATATCTGAGAGTCAAATAGAAACGTCATAAACTGCGGTTACAGCGCAGTTGTAAAAATTCTGATTGTTTTGCTGATAATCTGCTAACTAGTACATTTTAGACATGCTCTTCATATCTGAGAGTCAAATAGAAGCGTCAAATACTGCGCTTACAGCGCAGTTGTAAAAATTCTAATTGTTTTGCTGCTAAACTGCTAAATAGTACATATTGGGCCTGCTCTTCATATCTGAGAGTCAAATAGAGGCATCAAATAGGGCGGTTATAGCGCAATTGTAAACATTCTTATTGTTTTGCTGCTAAACTGCTAAATAGTACATTAGTGTGGTGCACTTCATATCTGAGAGTCAAATAAAAGCGTCAAATGGTGCGCTTAAAGCACAGTTGTAAAAATTCTAATTGTTTTGCTGCTAATCTGCTAAATAGTACATTTTGGGCATGCTCTTCATATCTGAGAGTCAAATAGAACCGTCAAATACTGTGGTTACAGCGCAGTTTGACCAATTAAAATTTTTTGGGGTGCTAAATAGTACATTTGCAGCCTGCACTTCATATCTGACAGTCAAATACAAATATAACAATATTGTAATTCGTGGGCAATACCGAATATACAAAGTTAGGAGTCACAGTGTGGAATGGATTAGCAGGGTCTGGTGCAGGGTAACTGCACACCCCCTGGTGTTCAGCACTCCGCATGGGAGTCCTTCTCCCCTTTCTGGGTCTCCCTAAACTTTCGGCGGTATTGCTTGCGGGTGACCGCATACCGGGCCAGGAGGATTTGGGGAATAAAGGGATAGTCTCTGATCTGCTCTTCTGGTACAGACCAGTAAATATCCACTGCCTTCCCCACTAGTTTGCTGGCCAGGAAGGTGACCCAGTCGCTGGGGTCCACGTCTTGGAGTAGGCACTGGCACTCAAAGTCTTGTAAAAAGTCATTGATGCTTTCTTCTGCTTCCTTAAAGTCTTTGAAGGCATTGTATGGTAACTTGTGGCCAGGGTGGTTGTGCTTCCGGGCGCCCTCTGCTCCCTTCTTCCTTCATCTGGGTTCATGGAGGTCGCCCTTTGTCTACTGGCAAGGACATAGGCTTGCACCTCCAAAAAGGTTCTGCTGACAATCTCCTCTGAGGGTGGCTCTCGGTAATATGCCAGGCGCCGTTACACCTCCTTGCGCACTTCCTCCTCATCTCCTGCTGCTGCTCGCCTGTCTGCGCTGCAGTGTAACTTCGGCCTTCCTGCTCACTGCCTCATGAGACTGTGCGAGCAACAGCAGGTGATAGTGGAGTTTCAGCTGCAGCACGCACGGGTCAGTCGCTCTGCGGAACAGAGTTGTCTTTTTTTATATGTTCCAATATTTTGGGGGCTACCCCAATTAAAAAATATAAATATAAATAAAACAGTGTTGGCTACCTCCTCCATCGCTGCTTCCACCTACACCGCCACGGTCACCACCTCCTTAACCTGTGGGTCACTTAGTATAAACTATGTACACAATAGCAGAGGCTTGTGAAGACCTTTTCTCCATGCATCAGGAGTTGAGCATTTCTCCATGTATCAGGACTGTAAGAAATGCACCGCAGGCTGCAAATGTTTCTTTTTTTATATGTCCCAAATCCCAATATTTTGGAGGCTACCCCAATTAAAAACACAGACAAATAAAAAACAGTGTTGGCTACCTCCTCCACTGCCGCTTCCACCTACACCGCCACGGTCACCGCCTCCTCAACCTATGGGTCACTTAGTGTAAACTATGTACACAATATCAGAGGCTTGTGAAGGCCTTTTCTCCATGCATCATGAGTTGAGCTCAGTTTGAACAATGAAAGAGAATACCCTGCACTCCAACGCTCTCAAATGGATAATTCTGGTGATCCTCCTAAGAGCCATGCTTTAGATTTTGATTTATGTTCTTCCAAAGCTAAAATCAAAGATTCCATCTAGTGCTATTTTATGGCTCAGCTGTATTTTTAATTTTTGTGTTATTTTAAGTAATTTCCCTATCCATATTTGTTTGCAGGGCACTTGTCATACTCTTACCCCCATTTTACTTCCTTTTGCAGCCCTCTAGCCCTTTCCAGGACTTTTTAAGAGGCATTTTAGTGCCCAAAAGTTCTGGTCCCCATTGACTTCAATGGGGTTCGGGTTCGGGGTCAAGTTCGATCCCGAACCCGGACTTTTTTTCAACGTTCGGCCGTACCTGCCGGACCCGAACATCCAGGTGTCCGCTCAACTCTAATAATGACCTCTTGCTAATTTTATTATTGGACCCACCAAGTCCATGGCAATTCTTCAAAGGAAATAACAATTATACTTAATGCTAGAAGCTGACTGTGAAAGGCTTTAGTAGGATTTGTTAGTTGACATTCAGGGCATGAGGAACAAAAGTTCTTCACTGCAGCATATACTACTAGCCAGTAAAGCCTCCATACTAGCCTATCTCTTGTTATGGCAGCCATGAGGTGACCCCCAAAATATGCCTATGTAACACAGTGTTATTACATTCTTGGGGTGCCAAAAGTTGCTCCACCAAATCAGTTCCTTTTTTCTCAATACAATACATAGTTACATAGTTACATAGTTACATAGTTACATAGCTGAAAAGAGACTTACGTCCATCAAGTTCAGCCTTCCTCACATTTGTTTTTTGCTGTTGATCCAAAAGAAGGCAAAAAAACCCAGTTTGAAGCACAATTTTGCAACAAGCTAGGAAAAAAATTCCTTCTTGACCCCAGAATGGCAGTCAGATTTATCCTTGGATCAAGCAGTTATTACCCTACATTGAAAGATTATATCCTTGAATATTCTGTTCTTGCAAGTATGCATCTAGTAGCCGTTTGAACATCTGTATGGACTCTGATAAAACCACTTCTTCAGGCAGAGAATTCCACATCCTGATTGTTCTTACAGTAAAAAAACCTTTCCTTTGCCTTAGACGAAATCTTCTTTCTTCCAGTCTAAACGCATGGCCTCGTGTCCTATGTAAAGTCCGGTTTGTGAATAGATTTCCACACAATGGTTTGTATTGGCCCCGAATATATTTGTATAATGTTATCATATCCCCTCTCAGGCGACGTTTTTCTAAACTAAATAGGTTTAAATTTGTTAACCTTTCTTCATAGCTGATATGTTCCATTCCTTTTATTAATTTTGTAGCCCGCCTCTGCACTTTTTCTAGTGCCATAATATCCTTCTTTAGAACAGGTGCCCAAAATTGCACAGCATATTCAATATGGGGTCTTACCAGTGATTTATAAAGAGGCAAAATTATATTCTTGTCCCGAGAATGAATGCCCTTTTTCATGCATGACAATACCTTACTGGCCTTGGCCACTGCTGATTGACATTGCACATTGTTGCATAGTTTGTTGTCTATAACAATTCCCAAGTCCTTTTCATGTGTTGTTATCCCTAATTCGCTTCCATTAAGGGTATACGTTGCTTGTGTATTCTTTACGCCGAAGTGCATAACTTTGCATTTTTCAACATTAAATTTCATCTGCCATTTGAGTGCCCAGTCCCCCAGTCTATCTAAATCCCTCTGCAGCAAAGTAATATCTTGCTCACATTGTATTGTTTTACAAAGTTTGGTGTCATCTGCAAACACTGAAACATGACTTTCAATGCGGTCTTCAAGATCATTTATAAACATGTTAAATAGAAGGGGTCCCAGAACAGACCCCTGAGGGACACCACTTGCCACCTCTGTCCAGCTTGAAAATTTACCATTAATGACAACTCTTTGTACTCTGTTTTTAAGCCAATGTTCTACCCAAGAACAAGCATTTTCATCTAGACCGATTTCCTTGAGTTTGAACACTAATCTATTGTGTGGAACTGTATCAAATGCCTTGGCAAAATCCAAATAGATCACATCCACGGCAACACCCTGATCTATACTTCTACTTACTTCTTCGTAGAACGCAATCAAGTTAGTTTGACATGACCTGTGCTTCATAAAACCATGCTGATTTTTGCTGATAACCATGTTCTTCTCAAGGAATTCTTGAATATTATCCCTTAATAACCTTTCAAATATTTTACCAGCCACAGAAGTTAAGCTCACAGGTCTATAATTTCCAGGCAAGGATTTTGAACCCTTTTTGAATATAGGAACCACATCTGCCTTCCTCCAATCCTCCGGAACACTTCCTGAAAGAAAAGAATCTTGAAAGATTAAAAACAGAGGTTCACTTATTTCTGCACTTAGTTCCTTAAGTACACGTGGATGGATACCGTCAGGCCCTGGAGCTTTGTTTATATTAACTTTCTTTAGTTGCTGCAGCACCTTGTCTTGAGTTAACCAATTACAATTATTCTGCAAGTTTTTAGTAGCAATCATTTGCACATCTATTGCCATGGGTTCTTCCTTAATATATACGGAGGAGAAATAGTTATTTAAAATTCCTGCCTTTTCCTGGTCTTCATTAATTAACACCCCCGTTTCAGTTTTTAGTGTACCTACACTTTCATTTTGTTTTTTTTTTAGAATTTATGTACTTAAAAAATGCTTTGGGGTTGGTTTTGCTCTCTTCAGCTATCATTATTTCATTTTGAAGTTTAGCAAGTCTAATTGCCTTTTTGCACGCATTATTTGCATCCTTATATCTTTTATAAGATGCATCTGATTTGTCCGATTTAAATGCTTTAAATGCCCTTCTCTTAGTTGTAATCTCTTGTTTTGCTTCTCTACTAAGCCATGTTGGTTTTAATTTGTTTCTTTTATATTTATTTCCCAATGGTACATACTGAGAAATGTACCTTTGTAATATTTGTTGGAAGATGATCCATTTATCCTCAGTGTTCTTTTCACTAAAGAGTTTATGCCAGTCAATATATTGTAAAGCTTCCCTTAACTTATTGAAATTGGCCTTTTTAAAATTATATGTTTTAGTATTCCCCATGTGCTTTTGTTTTTTTGAGTTTATTTCAAAGGACACTATATTGTGATCACTATTTCCCAAGTGCTCACCTACTTGAATGTTGGTCAAAAGATCAACGTTGTTTGTTAAAACCAGGTCCAGACAAGCATCCATTCTAGTTGGTGCTTGCACAAGTTGTGACATGAAGGTGTCATTTAACAAGTTTAAAAACCTAATTCCCTTTGCTGAGGCACTAGTCCCTCTGTCCCAATTTATATCCGGGTAATTAAAATCTCCAATAATTAAAGTGTTACCCAGATTTGCAGCTTTCTCAATTTGCTCAAACAGCTGTTGTTCCTCGTCAATATTAACATTAGGTGGTTTATAACATATCCCAACCAATAGTTGGTTTCCCTTCTTTTCCCCCAAGCAGATATTTACCCATAAAGCTTCCACATTATCCTCCTCGCATTCCATTTGCTTAACATTTGGCTTTAAATCATGTTTGACATACAAACATACCCCACCACCCTTCTTGTTTTTCCTATCCTTCCTAAATAACATGTACCCATTTAAGTTAGCTGCCCAGTCATGTGTCTCATCCCACCATGTTTCAGTTATGCCTATTATATCATATTGTTTAGTAGGCATAACTGAAACATGGTGAACAATGGGAACATAAGGGATATATCCGGGTATTACTTGGGACCCATTTAAAACCTTAATATTTTTTCTTTCTTCTGACAAAGTTGTGTCCTCCCACTGTACATTTCCAAAATTTCCACAAATTTACATTTTCAAATGGGGGTTACACTTAAAAAACAGAGTAAGAAAATGAAAATATGGCATGCAATTCTGGCCTGCTGTTGTTCTGTATTCGTCTCCTGTTGTCCTGCAGTGGCCTGCAGCAAAGCCTTTAACATCCTCCATTTTCCAAAACCCACATCCTCCACCATATTATTATTATTATTATTATTATTATTTATATAGCGCCAACAAATTCCGTAGCGCTGTACAATGGGATGCAAGTAACTCTCACAGTGTCAGGGATCTTAGCACAGTCTTAGCATAGTTTTCTAGGATTATACACAACAGAATCAGGTAGTCGTTTAACACAATTTATTGTACAGTCCAATATGGGTATTTTTCCATCATTCCAAAACAAAATAATAGACATATCCTACCAGAGCACTAACTATCACACAGCTACTCCCTGACTATTGTGGGATAGCTAAATCCATTAAGGAGCCATAACAAAATACAGCATGAAATAAAGGCCCTGAGTCTTTCTTGCTCTGCAAGTTAGGTGTGGTTCCTTAGTTATCCTTCATTTGTAGTGCTGCTTGCATGGGAAATGTAGAATACAATAAATACAGAATGTGTAGAATTCTGTGACCCAAACATCAACTTTCCACAACCACACCTCTGATCCTGTCACAGTGTGCATGTGTTAGTGTCTAGCAGTGTGTTATCTGTGAATGTGTGCATCTGGCAGCTTATTTTTGGGGATGGGAGTGGGAGTTACATAGTTACATAGCTGAAAAGAGACTTGCGTCCATCAAGTTCAGCCTTCCTGCGTGTGCATCTGGCAGTGTGTATTAGATTTGTTTGTGAGTGCATGTGTCTCTCAGTTTGCACAGTATATGTACACTTGTATGCTTGTATACCTGTAATGCGTGTGTCAGGGACACTGTACCAAGAGGGGCTTGGCCAGTGGATTTGTAAGGGGTAACTTGATATAATAAAAATACATCTAATTTTTTTTGCCTATTTTTTGCCATCAGTTCTTCAAAAAATATTTCTGGGTCATAGCACAACAGTACAAAAGCTTTCGGAAGCACATTTCTAAATTTGAATCACATGAATGATAAATTGGTTACTAGATAGGACGTTTTTCGTTCGTATTGAATGGACAATTATTGACAGATTTGACATTTAGTAAACAATTCGGATTTCCAGAAAAAGAAGCATAACAATTATTAACCATTTCATTAATTGGCTTGGCTTTTTTTTTCCTGCTATTTCTGTTCTACTACTGCACAAAATGTTCAATTTAATTACATCAGAGTCATATATACTTTCTCCAGGTAAAAGATTAGTTTACTGGTGGTCACAACTTTTCAGGGACAGAGTCTTAAGAAACTGAGCAGGTCGTCTGTCTGCCTGTCAGTGTCTTGACTCAATAAATATATATTGGTAACCAGACCACACTGAAATGGTACAATACCATGTTACTACATTCATTAACATATTGGACATTTTGTACATTGCAACTTTGAAAGAGATATGAAACCCACCATATCTTGCAGTTGGCATTCAATACCTTTTGAAACTGCCATGTGTGTTTCTTTTCTTAACTGTGGCAACACATAAAATGTAAATTACAAGGAAATCTGGGACAATATGTTTCCACAAAGGAAATCCTTATGAGCACCTAAGGTAATGGTTTCCAGTGTCATCCTTGAGAAATATATACTGGGTGTAGGGGCAAAAATGTTCTAAGGTCAGATGTAAGATGTTTCTAAATAACAGTCAATGTAATGTCCTTCTGCTAAGCAATGAACCCTGCTGTATCTGTAGTTGTAGTTAGTGTTATCAAAATTGATCATTTATATGCAACCACAGTATTTTTTCTTACCATAGGTAACCTCTTAGCTAAAGCTTTTCCAAAATGGTTGGCATTCGTCACTGTGGTCTTTTTTTACTTTTGCAATACATTTGTTCCACTATATTTTTGATTAAGTAAATACATACATATTGTACATTGTTTTTAAAGGACTGATAAGGCATTCATCTTATATTCTATATGCATGTAAGGCATAACAATACATATTAATATAATACTAAAAAATGAGGGAATTGTTTTTTCATAGATTTGATGCTAATAATTTCTAGTGCAACTAAAAAAACAGATTCACTTTTTATCCTGTTTTTTTTTTTTTTTTAAATGCCTAATATGGCCATTTTAGTTTTTTGGAAGTTATAAGACAAATATAGCAAGAAGTGATATACATCTTAAAGTTATCTTATCCAAAACCACTATACAGAAGTATATTATCTAGACATTAGACCGTCTTGAGCTGGCACATTTATCTTTGTGCTCCTTGCTACCCTTTTCTGCTACTGCTCCTACTTTACCTTTGTGCCCCTTCTGTCCTTTTCTTCTCTTTGCAGACCCTTCCTTCTCCTTGCAGACCCTTACTGCTCATTGCTGCCCCTGGCAGACCCTTCCTGCTCCTTGCAGACCCTTCCTGCTCCTTGCAGACCCTCCCTGCTCCTTGCAGACCCTCCCTGCTCCTTGCTGCCCCTTCCTGCTCCTTTCTGCCCCTTCCTGCTCATTGTTGCCCCTTGCAGATCCTTCCTGCTCCTTGCCGCCCCTTCCTGCTCATTGTTGCCCCTTGCAGATCCTTCCTGCTCCTTGCCGCCCCTTCCTGCTCCTTGCAGACCCTTCCTGCTCCTTGCTGACCCTTCCTGTTAATTTCTGCTCCTTCTCTTACTTTACATTTGTGCTCCTTCTGCCCCTTCCAGCTCATTGCTGACCCTTTCTGTCCCTTGATGTCCCTCCCTGCTTATTTCTGTTACTTCTCCTACTTTACCTTTGTGCTGCTTTAACTTCCAGCTCCTTGCTGACCCTTCCTGCTCCTTGTTGACCCTTCATTCTCCTTGCTGAACCTTCCTGCTCCTTGCAGACCCTTCCTGTAGGCGGTCTCCCCCATCCCTCACTTACCTGATCTATAGGCTGTCTCTCCCCCCATCCCTCACTTACCTGATCTGTAGGTGGATCCCCCATTTCTCACTTACCTGATCTGTATGCTGCACCCCTCGTCTCTCACTTACCTGATCTATAGACCGTCTCCCCCCACTACCCCCCATCCCTCACTTACCTGATCTATAGTATGTCTCTTCCCCCCATGCCTCACTTACCTGATCTATAGGCTGCCTCTCCCTCCCATGCCTCACTTACCTGATGCCCCCTTGCCCTCCCCTCCCCCATGTGGATGCCCATGTCCTCTAAGATCCCTCCCTGGCTGCTGAAAACAAATTAGGCAAGACAGCTTTGGGAGTCTTTGTAAAATATGCCAAGACCCTTAAAGATGAAAGAACTGCTGTAAAGGAACACTCCAAGCAGCATAACTTTTATTGATTGACTTCTTACAATGGGTGTTAGGATACTCTTATCACCATAACCAAGCAAGTTTCCTGATTAAAGCCTCAGTTCAAGAACAGAGGTGGTTTGGTGGAGCCATCTTTCAAAGTTTTGGTTTAAACCATTTGCTTACGATTTAACCCCTTAAAGTAATACATCACTTGGACCTCCTAGCACAATAACAACTTTAATGCGATGAAGATGTTTTGGTGCCAGAGGGATCCTGTTATGGAGGCAGGAGTGTGTGGGTGCCTCTTTACTAGTTTGCAACAATTTACAGAATATTGGCGCTCCAGCGCTCAACAGAGATGTCTCCAAGCTTCATTCCTCTCTGCACTGTAGTCTGAGCTGATGCTCCCAGACTATCATTGGCCTCACAATTGAGATAAATAGTACAAAGTATTTTTTTAAATCCAACTGCAGGGTTAAACCATTGAGATGTAACTTTGGGGGCAGCGGGGGGGAGGGGGTAAACAAATCGAAAAATTATTTTAAAATCCTTTTTAAAGTTAAGTTATCACATGAGGAAACTATGTTCAGATATAAAATAAGGTGTATAAAATCTGTTTCCTGTTGCACTCCATAATGATTACTTGTTTTTCAAATATCCTAGTAAATGGACAAAACTGTCTTAATGTTTGTTTGCATGGAATTCAGAAATATAGTAGGTCTCCCTTTAATTACTCACTCTTTCTACATCAAATACAAAATGTAAAAAAATTGGTACAGAAGGATTTAATATGGTGCAAATATATGTAAAAGATTGTAAAGGCAGATAATATATAAATAAGCATCACATCAGAGCAAAAAAGAAGACATAGCCAACACCAAAGTGAAAAACTAAAATTATGAGAATATCTGTGGTTTACTTGGAGACCACTGATTTGACAATTGGACCCTAAAATACCTAATAGCTTTACGTACCCATCATCCAGCTCAACTACTACATTACAACATGTGGGCAGTATTAGAGGGGTGAACACAATTTTTGCTTCTCAGAGGTGGTTCTGTTATCGCCTCTCTTGGATATACTGCAGGTCAGATTTTAGGTTATATAATATAAGTTGTGTTAGTTATGCTAGATACCTTCTCCAAGAGAACAATGAAGATGTCTTGGTAAAGAAAATGTTGGATAACACATGTCAAAAAGGTTAAATATATAGGAATAGAATAGCAACTATGCCAAAATGACATCATGGTTAGGCTAGTCATCTCTTCTGTTTGGAGACAAACAATTTAACCTGGGATTTTGTTCTAAGACCTGGAGTCTCTGAACTATAACCAATAGTTCACAATTCAACTCACCCCAGAAGCTGCAATATTCAGCACTTTTTTCAAGAACTACAGTAAGGGAAAAAAGTATTCGATCCCCTGACGAATTTCTGAAGTGCCGAACGGAACCGGATTACCGAATTTCGGAAGTGCTGAACCGAAGTACTTCGGATTTCTGAAAAGTGGAAAAACAAGAGAGGGAGGGAAAATGAAAGGAATGATGACATGGATCTAACCCTACCCCAAACCCTATCCCTTACCCTACCCCTACTAGGGTTAGGGTTATGGTTGGGGTAGGGGTAGTAAGGATTTAATATGGTGCAAATATATGTAAAAGATTGTGAAGGCAGATAATAATTACATAAGCATCACAGCAGACACCCTCACCTCCCTCCCCTGCACAGGTTTCCTCCTTCCTTCCCTGCACAGCCCCACTCCTTCCCTCCTTGCACTCTCAAAGACCCCCTGCACCTTGCACAGACCCACTCCCTCCCTGCACAGACCCCCTCTTTCTCTTCTCTCTCACAGACCCCTTCCTGCATAGACCCCCTCTCTGCCTGCACTCCCTACTCTCCAAGTCTTTAGGGTTTCGAGGCTGACGTTTGGCAACTTGAACCTTCAGCTCCATCCACAGATTTTCAATGGGATTAAGGTCTGGAGACTGGTTAGGCCACTCCAGGACCTTAATGTGCTTCTTCCTGGGCCACTCCTTTGTTGCCTTGGCTGTGTGTTTTGTGTCATTGTCATGCTGCAATACCCATCCACGACCCATTTTCAATACCCTGGTTGAGGGAAGGAGGTTCTCACCCAAGGTTTGATGGTATATGGCCCCATCCCTTTGATGCGGTGCAGTTGTCCTGTCCTCTTAGCAGAAAAACACCTTCAAAGCATAATGTTACCACCTCCATGTTTGAAGGTGGGGATGATGTTCTTGGGGTCATAAGCAGCATTTCTCCTCCTCCAAACACGGCCAGTTGAGTTGATGCCAAAGAGCTTGATTTTGGTCTCATCTGACCACAACACTTTCACCCAGTTCTCCTCTGAATCATTCAGATGTTCGTTGGCAAACTTCAGACGGCCCTGTACATGTGCTTTCTTGAGCAGGGGGACGTGGCCGCTGCAGGATTTCAGTCCTTCACGGCATAGTATGTTACCAATTGTTTTCTTGGTGACTATGGTCCCAGCTGCCTTGAGATTATTAACAAGGTCCGCCCGTGTAGTTCTGGACTGATTCCTCACTGTTCTCATGATCATTGAAGCTCCACCAGGTAATAGCTTGCATGGAGCACCAGACCGAAGGAGACTGACAGTTATTTTGTGTTTCTTCCATTTGCGAATAATCGCACCAACTGATGTCACCTCACCAAGCTGCTTGGCAATGGTCTTGTAGCCCATTCCAGCCTTGTGTAGGTCTACAATCTTGTCCCTGACATCCTTGTACAGCTCTTTGGTCTTGGCCGTGGTGGAGAATTTGAAATCTGATTGATTGATTGATTGCTTCTGTGGACAGGTATCTTTTATACATGTAACAAGCTCAGATTAGGAGCACTCCCTTTAAGAGAGTGCTCCTAATATCAGCTTGTTACCTGTATAAAAGATGCCTGGGAGCCAGAAATTTGCTGATTGGTAGGGGATAAAATACTTATTTTACTCATTGACATGCAAATCAATTTACAACTTTTTTGACATGCGTTTTTTTTGTTTGTTTTTTGTTACTCTG